CTACCAACTACATGCTGGCATTCCTCCAAGCCCAGAGCGGCACCCACAAATGTGAGTCATCCTTTATTTCATCATCTTACTCTGCGCTACATCCTGCTGTAAAATTAAAATACAGCTTTCTCAAACTGTTTACAGGTCTCAAATATTTATGGACTTATGTCTCTCCTTCACTGTCTCTCAGCCAAGATAATTACTTTTAGCTTTTTCTCCTTTCCTTTTAAAGCCAATTCCTCAAATCAAATAACTGTCATAGAGGCTTTAAAATTCTCTGCCTTTGTATTACATTCTAGGATCCAAATCATATAACTGAAATATTGTTCCAGACAACAAACAAACAAAAACACCGATCTTTTTCAGGATTAATATTTTTGCATATGAACTCTAGAATCTCGGCTTTTGGTTACTCTTAATTTCCTTTGGTTATATTATCAAGCTGTGAGTTTATATTTTTTTCTAATACTATACTTGTATGAATTTTCCAGGTTTCTCATATGAAATGGCCTTTAGAGACAATGAGTACACACAAACAGTTGTGACTAACAAATGGTGTAAATGGGGAATACAGCAGTTAAAAGCTCTCCAGCATCTTAAACAGTAGTCCTGTTCTTTGGCTCACAAAAATAAATTGACACATCTCCATCTCCTTTTAATAACATATTCCCATTTTATATACTTTGCATTTTTCTACTGATGACAATGTGTATGTGTAGGTTTAACATTCCATTCCTGAAAATGCTTGAACAAAAGCAACATTGTATGGTACAGATAGACATCAAGGTTCTAGACAATGAAAAAGACTAGTGGAGACTGTCCCAGTTTTACTAGAATTACTTATGAATGGTGGAAAGATACACTAGTTATGTGGGGAAAAACATAAATAAGCACTATGATAGTTCAGAACCTCTCTTGGAATGTATTTTTAAGCCCCATGCTCACCCTAAGAGGAAGTTTTTTGTAATCCGTGGGGAATCTCTCTTTTGCTCAGAAAGTTTCAAGACCTTAAAACAAATAAACCCCACAAATACCAGAACCTGATATTTAGGGCCTGCCTGAGTCAAGCTGCAACCCAAATTTTTTTTTGTCCTATTACACCAATTATTCCTATTAGAGCCAGGCTCAACTCATGTCCTTTCTGAGATAATAAAAGGTCCTTTTCACTTTAGAAACTTTACAACCAACATGCCTACAGATTTCCTTTATTTACTAAATCTCTAAGTCCCATGTCAAAGTCCAGCTGAAATTCTATCTGCTCCCCGAAACAACACTGATGGCAGATGTCCTTCTGTATATATGTTTCTCTTATTGGCTGATGAATAAAACAGTTTGGCCAATGAGGCAGGAGATAGGCAGGACTAGGAGACGAGAAGAATTCTGGGAAAGGTAGGCAGGAGAGCCTGTCAGGGATAGATGCCATGTAGATCACAAAGGAGTAAAAGGTCCAGGCATTCTCCAGTAAACCAAGACCTCGTGGAAATACATAGATTAATAGAAATGGGTCAATAATTAAGACAGCTAGCCAATAAGAAGCCCAAGCCATCAGCCAACAATTTTATAACTAAGATAGCACCCATGTGCTTTTTGGGGGCTGAGAAGGGCAGCAGGACCTGGAGGGACAAGAAACATTCAGCAACAAAATGGCGCCAAGCTGGGTTGCACAAATTTCCACATAGAACCTGACAAAAGTTTAAAAGGGGATTTTAGAAACAAAAGAACAAAGTCTGGCACAGCTTGGTAGCAGCATTTTCTTGGGTGGGCTCTGTCTGCTAGAGACAAGCAGAAGCTCGCAGCTCCTTTAAGGGAGGCTTCCCAACTCAGCATAAGCGGCAAAAACCACATGGCTCTTTTAGCAATACTGTTTAGCAGATAAAAGACTCATGGCTAGAAAAAGATAGAGATATACAGTAAAGACAGATTCAGATAAAGAAAAACCTCTTAAAAGGTTTACAGTGTGTTTAAAAATATATGTAGGCTTGGGAGAGAAAATAAAAAGGATAAAATGGTTAAAAGGACAGAAACATATATACAGAAGGACATCCCCCATCATATCTGTGTTTTCCAATGGTCTTAAGCAACACCTGTGAAAGGGTTGTTCGACCCACAGGTTGAGAACCGCTGATCTAAAAATATCTACAGGATACTAACAAATAACATTAAGAGAATAAAAATGAAATATAACAAGAATGAACAATGAAAGATTATTTAATTTCAAAGTAGAGCGGGATTATGAAAGTATACTTTAAATTTTTAAGTTTATTTTGTTTTATTATGGTATTTTGTTTTGTTTTCTGTTTCTGCTTGTATGTCTGTGTACCAGGTACATGCTTGGTGTTTGTAGAGGCCAGAAGACAGCAGCAGATCCCTGAGAACCAGAGTTACAGTCAGTTGTGAGCTGCTGTGTGGGTGCTTGGAATCAAACCTAGGTCCTTGGCAAGAGCAGCCAGTGATTAACTGCTGAGCCATCTCAAGCCCCAAGCTTTAGTATTTGTGCTGATCCTTGAAAGACAAGCACATTTATGTATGTAGAGAAAAAGAAAAAAGACACGGAAATGCAAGCCTTTAAGGCAAGAAACCTCAGGATAATACAGGAACAACCACTAGTAGAAAGCATGCATCAAGGGATGTGTGTCGAGAAAACACCTGAAGCCATCAGAGCTACATTTGGTAAGATCCTGAAAACCAAATAAGAAACTTAAACTTTACTTTTTCTATAAGAATATATTCCAAAGTTCCTGCAAGGCTAATAAATTGCTATTGGTCTATTGTGGACTAGAGGACAAAAAGACAAATGCAGAGTACCATGACAAAAACAAAGATGTAATTTATGAGGGCGTGAGCAAGGGAGGAGGCACAGGGAATAAAAACAGATGAGGAGAAAGGTATTATAGACACGACAATGTCACGCTCTAGATGTAAACCACAAAGAAAGTCTTATAAAGGCAAGAGGTGTTTCTTTGCCAGGAAGAGGCCACTGCTATAACTAGGAGAGAGGACACTAAAGGATAGTAAATTTAAACAGGAAAAACTGAGTCCCAGTCACACTGAATAGTACCAGTAGGCAATCAGATCACAGTAGCACAAAGAAACCACAATCAACTCTTCTACTTAGAACAAGTAACTTTGTAAAAAATGAGAAAAACACTTCAATCAATCCTGAATAAAAGATTCTCATTAGTGGTTCAAATGTGCCTGGAACCTTAAAAACACAAAATCTAAATGCTATCTATGGATCATGCCAAAGCAATCCCAAGTACTGACGAACAATTTTAGAACATGGTGACTCAAAGGTAAATACACAACTGGAAAACTAGAAGACAGGAATTCTTTAAAAACACTAAACAAATGAATGCTTTGTGGTTATATTATTTGGTCACAATTCAGCTACAACGCTACAATAAGAGGTGATCAAGGCAGGCGTCCAGGTCTGACTGACAGGTGCCAAAGAGTACTAACTACAACTCCTTATGCATTCCTCCTTTTCTGTAGCAAACAGTTAATAAAGCTGGAGTCTACCTACACTAACCCCTATTACTGCTGGATCTAAAATCTGCAAAGACCTAAAAAACTAAAGTATTTTGAAATCACGTGAGGGGAAGATAACTCCTCCAATGATAAACTCATTAGGTTCACAGCTTTCTTATGCCTTTACAGTCTTAATAAGTAAAAAAATAATCTAAGCAAAAATGAAAGTGAGCACCTAGCATATAATTTGATTATGAACAAATGTTTATTATACATATACTGAATTAAAAAAATAAGAACAAACATTTGCATTGTGGCTTGTTGCTGGTTTTTTTACTCTTAACTCTTTTGGGGGCCTCGCCACCCAGCTCCAAAATAAGTCACATGGAGACTTAGGACTGCCCAGCCTTAGCTTGGCTTATTTCTAGCCAGCTTTTCTTAAGATATCCCATCTAACTTTTGCCTCTGGCATAATTTTATCTTTCTCTATTCTGTATACCTTTCTTTACTTCTTACTCTGTGGCTTGCTATGCAGCTGGGTGGCTGATCCCTGATGTACTCCTCTCCTTCTTTTCTTGCTTCTCCTTTCTCGTCATTCTTTTTCTCGTTCTATTTGTTCTCTCTGCCTGCTAGCCCCGCCTATGCTTTCTCTGCCCAGCTACTGGCCCTTCAGTTCTTTATTAGACCATCAGGTGATTTAGACAGGCACAGTAATACAGCTTCACACAGTTAAATGCAACATGAAAGAATACATCTTTGCATCATTAAAACAAATGTGCCAAGCACAAACAAATGCTATAAACACATCTTAAAATAATATTCTACAACAGTGGCTAATTTCCCTAATAAGTATGTTCTAACTATTAAATGCACTTATTCATTTATTTGCTATTAAGTAATGCTGGTAATAACATGATTTTCACCAGAGTAATGTCATTATTTCAGTTTAAGTCTTAAGGGAACAGAAAATGAGGAATCAACTTTCATTATTAGTGCTTTTATATAAAGAACAAATTGAAGTAAAATGCACTAGCTTTACATATTAACTGAACGTTAAAATTATATGCTACTAACCATTTGTTAAAAATCACACAGACATTTTACGGCTATGCATTGATCTGACAGAGTAACAGACACCAGATGTTTAAAGACAATCTTGTTTGGTTCATTTTTGATTATTTAAGATAGGCTGCAAACTTGGGCTCTTCCATCTGAGGACTGGGTTACAGGTGTGCACTACTGCGCAGGGTAGGGGAGAGGAGGAGAGAAGAGGTGAGGGAGAGAAGGGGGTGAGGAAGGACAGTTTCACTCTTGGCCTAGGCTGTCCTTGAACTCATGGGAACCCTACTTCAGCTTTCCCAAGTGCTGAAATTACAGACAGCAGCCACCACGACATCAGCTTCTAGTCTTCTGACTGTAGACTGTAGGCGAGTTTTTAATCCCTCCTCTGGTATGTATTTATATTCTTCTTAGCTAATGTTCTGTTACAATTGTGCCAAGAGGAACAATCTGGTTAACAGAGAATTAAAACAACAACTTACCAGGTCTCTGTGAAGCACCCAGTTTGCATGGAGGTAATGGATACCATCGAGAATCTGGTAAAGCAGTGACTTAACCATAGATCTTGGTAACTGCATGGGCTTTTTATTTGCTTTTGATGCACGGTGAAACTTAATAATGTGCTAAAAATTAGAAAATAAAACATACTGTGATATTATAGTCTGCTTAGATCTCTGCCAAAAGGGGGGGAAAAAACAACCAAAATTGAAATAAATGCTGTGTATTTTACAATTAACTTTTAAATTAATGATACAAAAATTTCTGAATAATAAGCTTGTCCAAAAGATGTATTGGGGGATGAGTGTGACCATGTTAATGTGAGTCTATGATGATCAGATCTCATGAAAACACTAAGATTTTCACTAAGCAGCCTTAAAGGGTAAGAAGAATTGGTATTTAAATACCTGTCTCAGAACAGTATTGGTAATATTCTATACAGATAAGGGGAAGAGAGCATGACAAACTGTAAATCCTGGCTGTTACATACAAAGTCAGTACTTGGTATATTTGGATAACACCTCTGGCACTAGATATATTTAAATTACTGGGAAAATACTACCTCCCCTAGGCACAAAACAATGTGATATGTTCCTAAAATATTATATAGGAAAGAACACTAGGAAGTACAGAGAAAAGGGAGAGAAGAAATTGCATACTTTTAACAATTGAAGTAATAATTGTTAGGTCTCAAACCTGAGACAAAGGGCTGAGGTGTCAATAGCCAGACTGACATTATATAAGCACTGTAATGCAAGGGAGGAAAATGCTACAGCCACATCTAACTCCCACCCTGTACCTGTGCTCAAATCCCACCCAGGTCCTAGGAAAAGAGCCAGTGTTCCTAACTGCTGAGCCACAGACAGCATCGACCCCCCACTACTGTTAAAGGAGCTTTATACATTATCTAGTGAGCTTTGTAGAAATAAAGGAGGGTTGTGGTCAATGCGGAAAATACTTGTTTTGAGGTAGGGCCTCAGGGATTTGGATTACAGGTATGCATTATCATGATGAGCAAATAACACTTAAAAATTTTTACTACAAGCTGGGCATTGGTGGCGCACGCCTTTAATCCCAGCACTCGGGAGGCAGAGGCAGGCAGATCTCTGTGATTTCGAGACCAGCCTGGTCTACAAGAGCTACTTCCAGGACAGCCTCCAAAGCCACAGAGAAACCCTGTCTCGAAAAACCAAAAGAAAAAAAAAAATTTTTTATTACAGTGTGTGTGTGTTTGCGTGTGCATGCATGTACCACTAGGAACATTTGGAGGTCAGAAGATAGCTCACGGGAGTGGGCTCTCTCACACCAGCATGTGGGTCCTGGGCAGGTACTTTTTACCTACAGAGCCATCTGTCCAGTCCAGAAATGTAATTTTTATTAAGAAATATTGAAGAAAACACTGGAAGTTGTCATCAACAGTTCTGTAGCAGCATGCACATCAAAGGTCATTCAAGACCTTATAAGCTTGTCCAAGTTGTTCTTAAAAAGATTTTTTTTTTTTTTACTTTATGCAGAAGGCACACTGTAACATGCTGAACCAAATTTAACCATAATTTAACTGTTAAATTTGGAATTTTTTTTTGGCAGTTTTAGAAACAAAATGTTTGAAATGCTCCAGTTCCCAAATTTTAAAGTTAGGAATTAGGTTTTTTTCCCTTCTTTTATGTATTAATAAGGCATTCTAAAAACTATACTCATCATTTTATTTGGCAGACCCAGTTTGAAATACCAAGATATAGTAAAAAACTACTCACAAGCATATACTGGATGAGAACTGAGCCCTGTGAATTTACAAATGGAAGCAGTATTCACTGTGCCTGTCACCAAACTGCCATTAGCTGCCTGCACAGAACCAGTCTGTTATCCTAGCAAAACTTCCTCCCAGAAACTTGTGAGTGTACCAGACAGTGCCATCTTCAAATCAACATTTACTGTAGCTGCTCTGAACTGGAATGAACAGTGAGCTTTCTTTACTGTACATGAGTAGTACATACTGCTTGCATACATGGCCCTTACCTATGTCCTTTGGACACAGCGAGTTGAAACTTACCCAAAGGTCATGTTCTGCATAGTCAAACAACAGCCACACCTTCCTGTCGCTGTGCGAAAGGAACACCTTCTGCAATGCGATCACGTTAGGGTGCTTCAGTTCTCTCAAAAGCTGAGTGCAAGAGAAAGAAAGGTTACTACTCAGTAGAAAGGAGGGCTTAGAAGGGAACCCTACTCATAACTGAACAGTTTATTTGAAACAAGGTCTTCTGTATCCCAGGACACCACCTTGAACTCACAATCCATGTGCACCACCATGCCTAGCTTTCAAATGAACTTTCAAATTTTGGAAAAGCCAGGTGAGCAGCATGAAAGGGAGAAATAGCTTCCAATACCATTCTTGGAGAAAAATTCTGTCAGCGAGCATGTGTGCACATGTGTATTTTAAAAACAGGACTGTTTGAAATGATGAACAAAATGAGTCCTGCATCACTATAGAATTAGCTGGGTCTGGGAAAACAGTTCAGTCAGCGAAGTGCTGCAGGACTGGGTTCCTCACTGGCGGGGAGTTCTATCTAGGTCATGGAGAGACCTCATCACAAAATACAACAACAAAAAAAGGACTGAGGAATGACACCCGAGGCTGCTCTCTGGCTTTAACATGCATGCCCATGCATGTATGTACAGACACAGTCAGTCAACTCCTCTCCCAAAAAAGAAACTGTACTTGGTCCATGTGTATTTTCTTTATGAAAGGACTATCTTCTTGAGAAAAGAAATCATACAGTCAATTTATATCTACAGTAGCACAATATCAGAGCTCAATATATATATATATATATTCTACAAAAAGGAAAGAAAACTGAAAATTCCACTCCTGTATCTATGGGGCTTATCGGGCATGGTAAGTCTTGTGTGCAGTGACAAAGCCTGGAGGTGACAGTGGCTAGAGTCTGGCTCTTGAATATCTCCAAAAGTCCTATATGCTAACGGCTTAGTTCCCAGCTCATGTTGACATCCAGAAATACTGGGCTCTTTAGGACATACAGTCCAGTGGAAGGAAGCAGGACTGTAGAGTTTTAAGCTCACTCTCCTTGGCTTATACCCCAAGAAGCTCTGACTACAAGGTACTGTGCACAAGCCCTAGGCCAAGAAGCATGGCCTAAATCTCTGAAACAATAAGCCATAATCAACCTTTGCCCATAGTAATCTGATTATCTCAAGGATCTGTCACATCAATGGAAACCTGACTAACATAGCAGAGGTTCTGTACATAAAAAAGAATAGCCCTCACAATACACAAGCTTCAGGCTCCACCCTGACAAGAAAGTGGACAGACCAAACAAGCAAATGAAAACCACCTGCACATTACAGGCAGCAGCTTGATAAACGATATAGGAACAATGACATGAGCTCACGATAAAAGCCTTGTAAATATGCCTGGGGTTCAGAATTAGTAAACACAGAGAAGCATGCTTGATTTTATTTTTGTTTTGTTTTTGTTTTGTTAAGACAGGAGCTCACTATGCATGCTGACATAGTCCTACTCAGGAGGTTGACGCAGGGGCATTTAAAATTTAAGGCCCACTTGGGCTACAAAGTGAACTCAAGGCCTAGGCAATTTAGTGAGACTCCATCTCAAAACAAAAAGCAAAAAGAGGGGTGGGATACAGTTCAGTGGTAAAATGCTTCCCTAGCTCTCGAGCTCGCGCACGCGCACACACACACACACACACACACACACACACACACACACACACACACACACACACACACACACAAATGGATAACAAACAACCCAATTATGTTAGCCCAGACTGGCTCTGAACTTATGATCCTCCTGCCTCAACCTCCCAAGTGTGTGTAGTACACATTACAAATGTGTACTACAGGGAATGGAGAGATGGCTCAGCAGTTAAGAGCACTAACTAGCTGCTCTTCCAGAGGACTCAAATTCGAATCCCAGCACCCACATAGCAGCTCTGAAAACTCCAGTTCCAGGGGCATCTGATGCCCTCTTCTGGCCCTTGCAGGCACTATGTGTATGCAATACTCAGGCTTACATGCAGGCAAAACATTATTCATACATATAAAAAAAGCTAAAAAATAAAAACTGAAAAAAAACAAACAAACAAATGTGCACCACAACACCTGTCTTGGTAAGCAGTTTTCATGTCTTTTTATGTAAAGCTCATTAGACTTTTGTTGAGTATTTTTTCTTTTGTTACCTGTTTATTGAATACTTAAAATGTTCAAAATTATTATATACAAATGCTTTACTCTCATCTAATTCTAATAACAATTCTACAATGCAAACATTTTAAAGACCAGGGAAGGTTAAGAGTCCTTCTCCCTTGGGTGGGGAGGCAAGAAGAGCAGGTGTTGAGCTAAAGGTGTCTACCTTTGACCTCTGATGCTATGGCTCAAACAGCACTTCCTTTTGCTTTAGACGACAAATTAGTCCCATGTTCCTAGCCAATGACAGGCTCATCCCACACACAAGCGTTCTAAAGTTAAATGAAGAGTCAGCCACTGTGAAAGTTGCCACACTGGGACAGGTTTCTGCACATGCAGGGATGGGCGGCTGAGCCAGTGATGGAGCAGAGTGAAGTGCAGAATGGCTTTCAGACTCAGCTTCTCTGAATCATTGGCACTAGGCCTATGTTTCTATTCATACAGTTTATTCTACCAAATATTTACATCTGCCTCCCTATTAACTAGGAACTCCTCAAAGACAGTTTAATTTACCTCTGTGTCCCTGGGAAATGAATGATGAAGGCACATTGAAGGAGTTTGCAGGGTGTGTTGTTTTGATGGTCTCATCTACTTTAAGGAATTTAGATAACTCAGAAATGACTTACAAACGCTTGCCTCCTGCCCACATCTCTTCAAGCCCTAATGCAGCATCTCTATCTCAGTGTCTAATGGCTAACACTGAGGTGGTGATCTCTGCTTTCCCTGCCACTACTCCATCTGCTCGTCACAGAAAACAGCAAAGGCAACTACTCCAGGGAAGCAAGGGAGAGGCTTACTTTAGTCTCAAATATCATTTCCTAAGGAAGTCTTCCCTGGTCTTTCCATTGCAATGTTTTGGAGTTGTTTATTGCTTGTCATCTTCTATTAATAGCAAAGCTTTTGTTGGTTTTATATCCCCAGTGCTCAAAATGGCACCTCAAGAGCTGACATAATTAAGCACTCAATATTTATCAAATGGCAAATCTAATGAGCCTACCTGGTTCTTATTCATGAAAACAATAAATAGCTTTGTAGAGTGCTGTTTTCTTTTGACAAACTATCCTCTATCAAAAAGTATTTTTGAGTGATTTTTTTTCAATTACTATGTACTCCACTAGAAAAGTAACATAAGGATGTGCTCTTGGACACCATACATTACCATATATGGTGTCTTCCTCAGTTATCTCCACTTTTATTTTTGGGAAAGGGTCTCTCACTGAAAGCTCACCAACTCGGCCGACCAGCCAGCAAGCTCCAAAAAGCCGTGTGTCTCTGCCTCCAGCACTGTATTTACAGTCACATGCACTTGTACCCAGGTTGTCTATGTGGGTACTAGGGCTCCAAAGTTGGTCCTCACGCATGCACAGTAAGCAGTTTATCAACTGAGTCACCTCATCAGCTCTTGAGGATTATTTTTAATTTTTTTTGTTTGTTTTTTTGAGACAGGATTTCTCTGTGTAGCTTTGGAGCCTATCCTGGCACTCGCTCTGGAGACCAGGCTGGCCTCGAACTCACAGAGATCTGCCGCACTCTGCCTCCCGAGTGCTGGGATTAAAGGCATGCGTCACCAACGCCCGGCTTCTTGAGGGTATTTTTAAAACCAGTCTACAAATGAAACCCTAGGTCCTAGATGAACATCACACAAAAAGGGTATCACTACCCTGACTCTGCAGCAAGCAACAAAGTCTTTCTACCATTATTTACAGAACCCAGCAAGGAACAGCAATAAACAATCTCAGTGTTCAATGATAACAAAATTGATACTGATGATATAGCCACATATTATAGCTTCAGATACATACACTAAAGGGCTTTTAAAGACTTTTTAAAATTAGGTATGTGTGTAGCGAGTATGTGCACATGACTGCAGGGTGTCTGGGGAGGCAACAGTCATCAGATCCCCTGAAGTTGGAGTTACAGGGTTGTGAACCACCTTGTGTGGGTGCTGGGAATCGACTCTCATCCTCTGGAATAGCAGTGTATGGTCTTAACCACTGAGCTGCATCTCCAGTTCCACTACAAGTTTTCAATGGGACTTATTGCTATAATGTTATGATATAATTTTTTTTCCGTTTTTCAAGACAGGGTTTCTCTGTGTAGCTTTGGAGCCTATCCTGGAACTAGCTCTTGTAGACCAGGCTGGCCTCGAACTGACAGAGATCTGCCTCACTCTGCCTCCCGAATGCTGGGATTAAAGGGGTGTGCTACCAACGCCCGGCGTGATATAATATTTTAAACATCTATAAAATGATTTGTTTATAAAATGAAATATACAGCAAAGTATTATTAGTACTTGTTTAATGGTGTGAGATGACAATCGCATTTCATTTTGTTCAACAAATATTTGTTCCACATGATATAATGCAACTGCAAATACACATTAGATCCATTTAAATAGCAGTCACTCAATGATAACTCTGTGCTAGATACTCAGTGTGCTAACCTGAGAGCAATGCAACCTTGTGAAGAATAGTCAATGGACACAGATTTTATCTGATTCCCCTTCCAGACATGTAATTATAAAAAGTATCCACTTTTCAATGTCCTAAACACATAACAACAACAAAAAAAAATCTATAGTTACAGCTCTAAATGTTTTTCTCTAAAGCACTATTTAAGATCTCCGCTGAACCTCAGGATTCTTTACCAAGCTAAAGATTTCAATGCACATTTCTATTTTTACCCACACACTCTTTTGTGTTGTCTATAACACTCCCCACTTCTATTTTTACCCACAACACTTTCTGTGTTGTCTATAATGCTCCCTTGGGTTCCAGAATTTAAAAGGGGGAATTTTGAAATCCTTATACTCCAGTAACTTACTTACAAAATAAATCCAACTTTCTATTCTTGTCTGATTTCTTTAAAATAACAATATGACTCACAGGGCCATCAAACTTGCTCTTGGTAAAAATACTGCCAATGACTTTATTTTAG